TCAAATTGAAACTTGCAGTGAGATAAAAAGAAAATGAATGCCCTCTGGTCCAAAACATTACGAGGTAAGTTTTTTTNCTGTTTTTTAAAACAAAATATATTGACAGTATTCTTATTTTTCACTTGTAATTTCTTTCAAAATAATGTACAAAGAATGCAAACATTTCAGAAGGGTGTGAGGATCCTAAAAATCCTCCTAAATGGTGATTATTTTAAAATTGAGACAACCAATGCTATGATACAGAATAAACTGAACAGAAATAGCTAAATGCTATTATCTAGAATTAGGAGCACATCAAATAAAACATGAAATATAGACACTACATTATGGAAATAGGTTTATTGTCAAATAGGCAATTAAAAGCCAAAGCATAGTGAACCACAGACACATTCATTTTCTAAAGCTAGGATGAATACCAAGTGGATTCTTTTCCTTTCTTTTCTCTTATAAAGAAAATAGGGATAGAATGTATTTCACATATGGTGGAGTACATATTTTCAGACGTCAGCACGTCTTTATTCCTCAATCTGTTACTAAAAAAATTAAACATGCTTTTGCAGCTTTTGGACAGTTGGTTTGGCTACACATGTTAAAAGCCTTTACCTGAGTTAATTTACCATTTAGAACTATGTGAGTGTGAAAGTAATCCTCGCGGTAAACAGCATGTACTCCACAGTAAATACTGCATTATCCCCAACCAGAATGATGGAGTCAACTCAATAAATAAAAGCCTTAGCAGTAATTCCTACTTTTTACAATTAAAAACTAATTATTGGCTGAAAATAAACAGTGTGGTAATTTCATTCATATGTGCAGCAAACAAAGCCCTATACAAAGCTACTGTATTTGAAAACCTGTTATCTTTCAGTTAATGGACATTAATTTTCTTTCAACCATCTCTCTTGACCATTTCATAAGGACAATTACAGCAGAAGCACAGGCAGGAAGGTTAGTGTAGAGAAATCCAGTTGGCTAAAATGTGCACCACAGGAGACTATTATTTGCCGAAAGTCTCTGAGACATCTTTATCATTAGTAAAGTAAAATAAATTTTCTATTGCTGAAACATTTGCTGCAAATACAACCTTTAGACTTTTTAATTTAATGGAAACTGAAGACATCGGTAATGTAGTTGGCTAGAAAATACTTTAATAATGGCTAATATTAATGCATCAGAATTTATCGAGCTATTAGACATATTGTACATATGTCCTCTTCTTCAGTTCTCACAACAATCAGATGAGACAGGCATTGCTCACCTTGCATATGTTAGGTTCATTTCCATGAATTTAATTCATGAAGAATTCATAATAAAAGTAGCTTTGAGTCAAGGCAGAGACTCTTTCTTCCATCAAATCAAATGCTGTAATAGACGTCAAAGGCCACAAGGACATTTATATATTATATTCACACAATAATTCCATTACAGGGAGCTTAACCCAATAAATAATATGTATGTTGTTTCCAAAACAACTTGCAGAAGCCAGGGAGTTGTGAGAGAGATGAAGTAAAGAAATCAAGGCAAAGTAAAAAACACAAGTAGTCAAAGGAAGTCCCTGTAAATTTACTACACAAGGTATTGGGTTTAATTGTCAGAATTGGGTCACAAATTCAACTCTAGCCAGAAATCCAAGCAAAGAGAAATCAATTACATGATTCGTTGTTCCTAATATTGAACGTCAGTAGATGGAATAAGGCACATTTTTCCATGCTGGTCCTAATGTTTGAGAAGAATTTCTCTCATGGAACCTCATAAGTGTGATTCTCCTTAAAGAACACAAAATGTTCTTCAACAGCATGCTCACAGTAAATACTGCAAATTGAGTCAAATTCTAAAACGTAGCTCAGTGAAACATTTTACCAGAAGATCAAAATGATAAAAGTACTGAAGTCTTATATGGTCTTATCTGAACCAGTAGCACATAAGATTAACTAAGTAAGAATTGACTAAGTGCTCAAAACACCATGGCAGTGTGCTAGGAATTGTGAATAACACCAGGCACAGAAGACAGGCCCTTACCATGAAGAAATTTACATATGGAAATTTCAGAAAATTATGTAAAAAATTAAATGACAATAGCAGAGTAAACAATAGTTGAAGACAGCCACAATAGATGTCTTATAATTAAACACATTATAAATTGCCAGCTGAGTTACAAGGATAATAATTTCTATTAGAGGTCACAGTGAGAAACCTTTAAATGAACATAAGAAACTCATTAATTAGAAAGTTACTATAGATAAAAACATTAATTTATCTTTGTTGGTAATTCAATAAATCATTTAAGAAATAATACAAGTCTTATACAAATTTAGAAAGTATAAGATAGGGAATACCACATTATGAAGCCAGCATATCCTTGATACAAAATCTGCACAAAGATATTATAAGAAAAGAAAATTATAGACCAAACATTTCCCTAGACTGTAGATGTAAATATCTTAAAACAACATTCACAAACAAAACCCAACAATACAGAAAAAAGATAATAAATAATGACCAAGTAGAGTTCATTTCAGGTATGCAAGGCTGTTTTAATATTTGAGATAAAATAATTGTAATTTCCAACAGAATAAAAGAGTAAAATCACAAAAGATACTGAAAAGGCATTTGAAAAAATTTGTGTATCTATTTGATTAAAAAAATTCTCAGCAAACTAGGAATACAAGAAAACATCTTCAACTTGAAAAATAGCATATCTATGAAAGCCCCACAACTAACATCTTACTTAATTATTAAAATTAAATGTTAAATGTTTTCATCCTTATACCAGGAACAAAGCAAAGATGTGTTCTTACAACTTCTAATAAACATCATACTAAACATTTCAGTGAGTGCAATAAGGTAAGGAAATAAAAACACAAATGCTTATAGTCAATTAATTGAGAAGCAAATGCCTTTATTTAGAAACAACATATTGTTTATGTAAAAACTACTTTAAAACTAGTAGAATTAAAAAGTGAATTTGACAAGATCACAGGATACAAGGCCAATACACAAAAATCAACTGTATTTCTAACAGTGGTAGCAACCAATTGTAAAACAAAATAATACCATTTTTATTTGCAGCAAAAACTATAAGATACTTAGATACAAATTTCACATACAAAGTGTGAAATCCTTAAACTGAAACAAAATGTCACTTAAAAACATTTTTAAAAATCTAAATAACAAGAGAAGTATACAACATTCACAAGTATGAAGATTTGATATTATTAAGATTGGATTCTTCCTGGCTTGATTTATAGATTTAATATAATACTATAAAAATTCCAGCTCTCTTTTTATAGAAAGTTATAAGCTGAGTCTAAAATATTTGTGAAAATGGGGCCTGGAATAGCCTAAATATCTTGAAAAAAATAAAGTCAGAGGACTTACACACCTGGCCTTAGGATGTACTACGAAGCTCCATGAATCATGACTGTGTAGTACTGGCAAAACAGTAGGATTAATGTAATGAAATAGGAAATCCAGAAATAGATTAACACATATATGGTCAACCAGTTGTCAACAAACATATCAGTGCATGTCAGTGGAGAAAGCCATTTCAACAAATGGTGGTGATTAAGAGTTTGGAAGAAGAAAATGAGCTTCAACCTCAATTTACATCATACCCAATAATTTGAGAATATTCATAGACCTACACATAAAAGCCAAAAATACAGAGCCTGTAGAAAAAAAGCATAAAAGAGTAACTTCATATCATCAAAAATAAATAAATAAATAAGGGAAGGATTGAGTTTTATCAAAATTAAGAACTTGTGTTCATCAAAAGCTGCCTTTAATAAAATAAGTCAAATCACAGGCTTGGAAAAAATATTTCCAAAGCATATATTTTATAACAGATTCATATTCAGAATGTATAACAAATTCTTATGAAAACAACCAAATTAAAAATGCCCAGAAGACTTGAATAAATTTTCCAAAAAAGAAAAATACAAGATTGACCAGTAAGTACATAAAAAATGCTCAACATCATGAACCACAAGGAAAATGCAAATTGAAATTTTATTACGATATTGTCTCATAGACAATAAAATGGCTCAATTTTAAAAGACTGATACCTGAAGGATACGAAGCACCTGGGACTCTCATACACTTCTGTGGGAATATACAGTGGAATAACCAGTTTGGAGAACTATTGAACAATTCTTTAGGAAGTTAAATAAACACCAAGATAAATGAACATATGTTCATAAAAAGACTTGTACAACATTCTTAGCACCTTTATTCACACAAATAAATGGTGAAAATCCTAAGATTGATTAACAAAGTAATGTATAAACAAATCATAATATATTTGAACAATGGAATACTATTTTAGAATAAAAAATATAATTCCTGATATCTGCAATGATATGGGTGAATCTCAGAAACATGTTGAGCAAAAGAATCCAGACACAAAAGAGTAGATGCTATATATTGCATTTGTATGAAGTTCTAGATGGGGCAAAACTAGTCTATAGTGATGGAAACCAGAAGTGGTTCTTTTCTACAGAGCTGTGGGAAAGAGAGACAGGAAAATATGATTGAAATATTCTGCATTATAATGTAGCTGTTGGTTACCTGGGTGTATACACTTATCAAAACTCATTGAACTATGCACTTAAGATATGCACATTTCATTATATGTGAATTTCACCTCCATTAAAAAAGATATAAGTTGTTGGAAAAAAATCCATGTACTTCAAGGGAAAGTTACAGAAGGCAGTTATCATCTCCTGCAAAACATGGCCACTGATCAGTAACAGAGCAAATGTGAGTCTAGCACAATCAAGCCAGGCTAGGCAAAAAGTGGTTGCAAACCTAGTTAAAAAGTGGAGGTAATGTATGACTACATTGTAGTTGGTAACACTAGCTAATCATTATCTAGGAAAGCCCTTTACCTTTTCGGAATCTCAGTTTTCTCATTAGTAACAATAACATGATTAGATATCAGGGAATTTTGTCCTTTTTTTAAAAAAAGTACTTTTATCTATAAACACAATACATAGGAATAATCAGTGCAGAACTTACCTAGTAGAAGTAGTGTGGAGCTTCAGCCCCAAACTCATTTAGGCCTGCCTGTCTCCACTGCAGTGGCTCCTAATGCACCTCTGTGTAACCATGTGATCCTGAGAAGATGGTTCAAAACCTCAGATGCACAAGAATAACCTCAAAGTAATTAACCTGCAACTTACTTTTATGTTGATATATATTATTCTTATGTTTACTAGATCTGGATTATTTTTATGACTTCATGAAGTCAAATTGAAACTTGCAGTGAGATAAAAAGAAAATGAATGCCCTCTGGTCCAAAACATTACGAGGTAAGTTTTTTTTGTCTTTTTCGTTTCATTTTCTTTTTTGGGGGTGGGGGTGGTGCAAAGGGAATACATATTTAAACTAGATATTTTCTGTTTTTTAAAACAAAATATATTGACAGTATTCTTATTTTTCACTTGTAATTTCTTTCAAAATAATGTACAAAGAATGCAAACATTTCAGAAGGGTGTGAGGATCCTAAAAATCCTCCTAAATGGTGATTATTTTAAAATTGAGACAACCAATGCTATGATACAGAATAAACTGAACAGAAATAGCTAAATGCTATTATCTAGAATTAGGAGCACATCAAATAAAACATGAAATATAGACACTACATTATGGAAATAGGTTTATTGTCAAATAGGCAATTAAAAGCCAAAGCATAGTGAACCACAGACACATTCATTTTCTAAAGCTAGGATGAATACCAAGTGGATTCTTTTCCTTTCTTTTCTCTTATAAAGAAAACAGGGATAGAATGTATTTCACATATGGTGGAGTACATATTTTCAGACGTCAGCACGTCTTTATTCCTCAATCTGTTACTAAAAAAATTAAACATGCTTTTGCAGCTTTTGGGCAGTTGGTTTGGCTACACATGTTAAAAGCCTTTACCTGAGTTAATTTACCATTTAGAACTATGTGAGTGTGAAAGTAATCCTCGCGGTAAACAGCATGTACTCCACAGTAAATACTGCATTATCCCCAACCAGAATGATGGAGTCAACTCAATAAATAAAAGCCTTAGCAGTAATTCCTACTTTTTACAATTAAAAACTAATTATTGGCTGAAAATAAACAGTGTGGTAATTTCATTCATATGTGCAGCAAACAAAGCCCTATACAAAGCTACTGTATTTGAAAACCTGTTATCTTTCAGTTAATGGACATTAATTTTCTTTCAACCATCTCTCTTGACCATTTCATAAGGACAATTACAGCAGAAGCACAGGCAGGAAGGTTAGTGTAGAGAAATCCAGTTGGCTAAAATGTGCACCACAGGAGACTATTATTTGCCGAAAGTCTCTGAGACATCTTTATCATTAGTAAAGTAAAATAAATTTTCTATTGCTGAAACATTTGCTGCAAATACAACCTTTAGACTTTTTAATTTAATGGAAACTGAAGACATCGGTAATGTAGTTGGCTAGAAAATACTTTAATAATGGCTAATATTAATGCATCAGAATTTATCGAGCTATTAGACATATTGTACATATGTCCTCTTCTTCAGTTCTCACAACAATCAGATGAGACAGGCATTGCTCACCTTGCATATGTTAGGTTCATTTCCATGAATTTAATTCATGAAGAATTCATAATAAAAGTAGCTTTGAGTCAAGGCAGAGACTCTTTCTTCCATCAAATCAAATGCTGTAATAGACGTCAAAGGCCACAAGGACATTTATATATTATATTCACACAATAATTCCATTACAGGGAGCTTAACCCAATAAATAATATGTATGTTGTTTCCAAAACAACTTGCAGAAGCCAGGGAGTTGTGAGAGAGATGAAGTAAAGAAATCAAGGCAAAGTAAAAAACACAAGTAGTCAAAGGAAGTCCCTGTAAATTTACTACACAAGGTATTGGGTTTAATTGTCAGAATTGGGTCACAAATTCAACTCTAGCCAGAAATCCAAGCAAAGAGAAATCAATTACATGATTCGTTGTTCCTAATATTGAACGTCAGTAGATGGAATAAGGCACATTTTTCCATGCTGGTCCTAATGTTTGAGAAGAATTTCTCTCATGGAACCTCGTAAGTGTGATTCTCCTTAAAGAACACAAAACGTTCTTCAACAGCATGCTCACAGTAAATACTGCAAATTGAGTCAAATTCTAAAACGTAGCTCAGTGAAACATTTTACCAGAAGATCAAAATGATAAAAGTACTGAAGTCTTATATGGTCTTATCTGAACCAGTAGCACATTTAGAACAAACATAAGAACAATTGAATATATTTAGGTTAATAGTGTTAAAAACTGTGCTACCAGAAATCTTCACCTCTGTCACACATTTCAGAGAAAGGATGAGAGAGTAAGAGTGCACATATGGTAGAGTTTTAGGATTCTATTTCTGCTTTAGGCAGAGTAACTCTTTGCCTCAGCTTCATTATTGGACTTCCTTATTATTTTAAGAGAGGATCCATTGAAAAAAAAAAAAGAAGTGGATTTATTATAGCATTAATTATAGCAGCAAAAGAATTGCATAAAATCACAAAAATACAGTAATGACTAATCAGTAACACTAGTGTAATTCTAAAAGAAGTATTGTGCACAAATGAAATATTAAAGTTGGGTCACAAATTCAACTTGGATTTTAACAGAGATCAAAGCAAAGAGAAATTAATGACAAGATTCAATATCAACATGAGCCAATATGTTGCTGCTATTGCAGTATGATGGTTATGAAGATTTAAAAGAAATATGGAAAATTTTAGTGTGATACTAAACAGAATTTGATAAGAGTATGTGTGAGAAATTTACGACCATGTAAAAATGTATGCATGTGAATGACAAGGAAATGCACAAATATTGTGATTTCAAGGGTTTTTATTTTTATCTTTAAACTTTATTCTAGAAAAGAGCAATAATTTTGGCTATATCATATTTTAAATGAAAAGGCAAGCCACCATATGATAGAAAATTTGTAGTAAATACAACTGTAAAGATTTAATTTCCTTATTAAAAGTAATAATTATTGAATGATAATAGGAAAACATTAAGATTCTGAATTTTCTAATTTAATAATTTGGAATTTGAGTAGCCAAATAGTAACAAACACTAAAAATTAATAATAATGTGCCAGAAAACCTTTTAAATTGCCTCATATACATAAACTCATTAATCCTCGTAACAGCCCTTGTGAAGTAGCTACTATTTATAGGGATGGGGAACCTGAATTAGAGGAATATGAAGGAACTTGCTCAAACCGTTTGGCTAGTAAATGGTGGCTCCTGGATTCAAACCCAAACAGTCTAGCTCCATATTTTTAATTAAAACACAAACTGCCTCTGAATAGCAAACTGCCAAGTTCCTCTCAGCCCTACTACACTCCGCAATACTATGTCATGCAACAATAATGCTATCACCTGCCATCTGCCTGCTATTCAACAATTTCCAAAATAGTGTCATTTGCACTACCTGTTCCTCACTACAAATCTATATGCATGAGCACTATCCTCTAGCTTTGATTCCAATATATACTGCTATTGTACTTCTTTGTTAGACATGTGCTGCCATTTCTATAGACTTGATTTCTTGGTCTCTCTTCTAACTGAACACATTCTGGTCCATAGGGTTTGATTATTGGATTTCAAAAAGAATTCTGGGGAGTTGTTAAATTTCATAAACTATAGACTGTGAAAGAGAGAAAGGAACAAGCCCTTCTATTATAACATCCTGGTTTGTTGGAGCATTTGGAGATAACCAAGTTTATAAAGCTAATGAGTGGCAGATACCAGATTGAAACATGTATTTTTCTAGGACATGGCATGTAAATATACATGTGGTCAGTGACAATATTAACCATACAGATACTCTAATATTAAATCTAATGTGCCAAATAAAGATATAAATGCTTAAACTGTGATTTTAACTATCATTTTCTTCCTGAGAAAAATTGCACATAGATAGGTCCCAGTAGGAGGCCAGAAACGGAGGCTTCAACTAGGGCTGTGATATGCTACTGGGAGATAGAATTCACATCTGAGAGGAATACAAGAAGCCACAAAAGCCTTTGTATCTGGTCAATGTTTAGAGTTTTCCTATAAATAGAAAACAAATCACTTTATACGTTTATGCATTTTTTAAAGATCAGTATTGTTAGTCTATTTTTAAGTCAAGACCCCAGGGAACTGCATATCAAGAAAGTGATTGATAGATCATAGTGACAGACTGAAATTTTAATGCTCTTCCTACCTAGCAAAAAGCTGAACTTAACTAATATCCAATTGAGTACCCACTTTAATAATAGCTAAAAATTGATTTCTTATAAAAGTAACTTAAAATTCACAAGACAAAGGCCATTTATGAACAGAAGAAATGTGAAGAAGATACAGAAAAAACAGTTCTTGTGTCTTTGCTGGTGGTGTGAAAAGGGTCAGTTATAATCTTTTCTTAATATTCAAATCAGGAATTAATTTTGCAATTGCTGATTTTTTATTGTCACAAAATTTGAACTTTGAAGAATTATTATAGTATATTAAAATAATTATTTAGATTAAATGTGGCCTTCACCTCTCTGGGGATCAAAATTAGTAAAATCATGTTGACTCCTTGAATGAGAGTGTTATCAAAACAATCAGCAAGTAATTTGTTTTTCCATTTTTTTTTTAACTGAACAAATGTTTACTTTAGAAAAAAGGAAAATGTCGATACTTAAAGAAAAGATAAATCAATTATAATCTCACCACCAAGAATGAAGAAATACAATTACAATAATAATGTTTGTAAAACATTCACTCACCTTGTACTCTTAATATTCTGAAGTACTTTTTATATATTGACTCATTTAATCCTCATAACAAAGCTTTGAGGCATAAACTCAAATTTTACAGTCTCCATTTCGCAGAAGACAAACTGAGTCAAAGAAAGGTTAAAGTGATTTGCTCCAAATTACAAACTACTACGTGTCAGTCAGGATTCAGATTTACACATTTAGATTTTAGTTTGGTGATTGCTGCCCACTATTTTCTATTGTTGGAAACTGGTTTTTATATTACATGTATCATAAACATTAAGGAAGCAAACGGCTCCATGGAATATAGACTCCATGTTAAAGGTTGTAGGAGTTATGCAACTAACAAATTAAGACATACTTTTAAACTAAAAATTACTTTTTAGTATTTTAACATTTTCATGTCATAACAATGTCTACCAAATTAACTAGTAATTGGGAAATAAAAATTGCAAAATGAATTTCTTTGTGAATGTAAGAAAATACATGCCCTAGAAAACATGATACCATTATGGCTAGCTTTGATATTGTATTATCTG